AAAGTCTATACTCACCGAAGAATTTCCTTGCGGGTAAAGAAGGTGCAGTCCTAAGACGAAAAAGAAAAGAAAATTACTTAACACACATAAAGCATAACTGAGATTTCATAATACAATGTTCAAGAAATTTATTTTAACAACATCTGACTTAAACCCCAAGCATAATTTCTAAAACAAATGTTAATTTTGGTTATACTTTATTTTAAGGTGTTCTTGTTACAGTGTAATTATACATTTAAGTACTGAGTAATATTAATTAACTACATGTACATCTACATTAGGATTAGGGTTAGGGTTTGGCGTAGGGTTACTTGCATGTAATTATGCTTAATTAATTGTTATTATAATAGTAAGTACATGTAACATGTGTAACAAGGACACCTTAAAATAAAGTGCTACCTTAATTTTTTTTTAAGCAAACTTACCTATTTTAGTGATATCTGACAGGAATTTTGGCTTAATTTAGGACAATTTGGCTTAATGTTGAAAAAAAAAAAAAAACAGATTTGGGGTCAGTCTGATTTTTATTTTTTTTATGTCCACAGGAAAAAAAAAAAGGAAAATTATTTTTAAATTTGCACTACCATTCAAAAGTTGAGGGTAGGTAAGATATTTCTAAGGCTTTTTGAGACTCTTATGCTCACTAACGCTGCATTTATTTTATCAAAAATACAGTAAAAGCAGTAATACTGTGAAATATTACAATTTAAATGATTTTACAATTTTCTATTTTAATATAATAAAATGTTTAATTACATTTATTCAGAAGTCATTACTCCAGTATTCAGTGTCACGTAATCCTTGAGAAATTATTGTAATATGGGGATTTGCTGCTCAAGAAACATCTCTTATTATTATCAATGATGAAAACAGTTGCACTGCTTCATATATTTTTTGTGGAAACTGTGATACTTTTTTTTAGGATTCTTTGATGAATAGAAAAGAACAGCATTTATTTGAAATAAAATAATCTCTGAAATCTTTTGTAACATTATATATACATCTTTACTGTCACTTTTGTTTAATTTAAAGTGCCCTTGTTGAATTAAAGTCTTCATTTCTTACTTTTAAATTCTTAATAAATTAAGAATGAGATAAATTATAATCTTACTGACCCAAACTTATAAAAAAGGTAGTGTAAAGCACATTTGAGTTATTCTATTTTTAATTCTAAAAATAATAAAAGCACAGGAAATAATGTGTCGGTGAACTAATTCATGTTTACTTGTTAGGGCACATCTCTTGACATGTTAAGCAACAGTTTTGCATTCACACTGCATGACTGCACGTGGATCAACACCTGAGCTCCTAGACAGCTTTATGTATTAGCACACAATGCCTCTTAGGTTTCACTGTCTTTGATAAGTGTTACCAGTCACAAAAAACAACACGCCAAATGAGGCCTGGCAATATGACCGCAGGAAACAACAACAGCTGTCGGCCCACTGTAGCACGAATCGCCTAAAAACCCATTATAATACTGTTCCCAGATCTGTGGCTCCTTTCTTACCTCTCTGCACTCACTGTAGCGGTGCCAACCTGAGCCGACAGTTTTATTAACTAATGATTAAGCTCTCTTTTATGATGTTTACACAAACACCCAGCCAGCTATATGCTAAAAAAAAAAAAAGCCCATCCCCCAAATCAGAGGAGCAGCACCGTTCTGTGATTTACGCGCATTAGCCTTTGAATACTGTTAATTGCTCATTAATTTGAAATATTGAGGCGTGAATCTGTGAGATGTGAGGTAAGGCCACAGCTGTGAGTTATTAGCACAAAGGATAGACGACCCGGTGTTAAATTATTACCAGAAACGAAAGCCCACATATCTAATAATGACATTACATGCCCGGAGAAAGAAATGGCTTCTTCATAACTTCTTATAATCACGTCATAGAGACATAATATAAAGGTGCGAGAGCAGCTGGCATTTACTAAAATACTTCTCACTGCTGTGTTGCGTTGTTACAAATCAAATGTACTTAATAGTCCTGCACGCTACAAATATTTGTATGGCAATATTTTATGGTACTTCTATGGTTGATTTCTTTCAGTTTTGCTAGGGGTGGAAAGAAACTATGTCACCACTGCGATGATTGAATCTTCAGCCTCACGGGAAAATAAATCATATTTTGCTTGAGTTATGAATGTGAATTTGCAGTCTGTATTGAACAGGATGGAATAAAAAGACTGTACTGTGAAATAATGGTACAAAACATCCTTGTATTAGAGTTGTCCTGGCAGGCTGCATGCAAAAACAAAAATACAACGTGATCAGTATATTCTGATTCACAAACAAATGACTCTTATGAACCAGTTCTCAAAAACAGACAAAGCAACCATAGTAGTCTGATTCACAAACAAATTACACTATTAAAGCAGACACTTTTTAGTAATCAGTAACATACATCGCGGCCAGTGTATTCTAAATCACGAACAAATGGCACTTTTGAGACAGTTCTTTTTAGTGAATCAGAAACATGCAGTGCAACCGATATATTTTGATTCCTGAACAAACGACTCTGATGAACCAGTTCTTTTTAGTAAACCGAAAACATCCAGCAGGACCAGTGTATTCCAATTCATGAACAAACAACTCTAAAGAACCAGCTTATTTTCAGTCAAATGAAAAACTATAGCTACAGCAAGACCAGTGTAACCAATTTCTGAAATTAACAATTCTTATGAGCTGGTTCTTTTAATGATTAATTCACGAAAAGATGAGCTTGAATTAGGGGTGTGCGATATATATCGTCTGCGATAATATCGTAATTGTCGTTTTAACGATGTGCGATTTGACATTATCGAGTATTTTGCAAAAACCATTCAAAACATCCCTACAGAGCGCATGCATACAGAATCCATTTGAAACACTGCACTGTATAATTACAGAATTAGTTGAGAGAATTCCTTTGATATGTAAAAAAAAATTGAAATATACCAAAAATAATTCTGAACTGAATCAAATTAAAACGGGAAACCATGACTAAATTCTAATTTTTGTATGAACTATATATTAAGACATAGTGGCGAACCCTAATAAATACCTTTTCCGAGGCACATTTTGTTTGCCTTATAAAGGTATCTAAATTTTCTACAATATTCTGCCTGATTCTGTTTTACAGCACGATGAATGAGTTGATAAGACTTGGCTGCTGTAAGGAATGAGTCTATCAGCCAAATGGCCAAGCTCCACTGATCCAGGTAGTACAACCCAGTGATTAAAGAGCACAAGGAGCGGTGGCCATTGTTGCTAACAGTCATTGATCTTCATAATGCACTTTGTTGACTGGCAAGTGGGAAACTCAGAAGCCTACTATTCAAATTGCATTAATATCTGACTCAATAAACCATTCACATCACATATCTATTCCCATATATATATATATATATATATATATATACACACACACATATATATATATATATATATATAAACAGGACTATAAAGCTACAAGGAAGCTATCAGAAAGTACAACAGCTGACTAATCACAATGAGGTTTCTGAGTATCTGCTTAGATTGGTATTAATATTTAAGTCTGACTGGGTCCTTAGACTGAGATGATGTTTCGCCAAAGCATGACAGACTGCTGTTACGGAAGACAAAAGCAAGACCTTCTCACATGTTCTCATCTCATATGATCAGATGTCCTCATATATGACTCAGTGCTCAGACCTTAGGATTCACACAGCGAGCAAATAATATATACAAAGTCGCTTGTATGCCGCAGGCAATATATATATATATATAGAGAGAGAGAGAGAGAGAGAGAGAGAAAGCAGTAGCCTATATAAGCAGTTTTCTGTAAGAATGCACCTTGACTATGAAGAAAGAAAGAATGAAAGAAAGGAAGTCAAAAACCACACATCTGTTCATTCTTTAACCCAAAACTTGATTTTGTTGCTTCTTAATTTTTGTCTGTAAATAACGCTGAGGACTAGAGAGTCTCTTACCTGATAGGCGTCTAGCTGTTCATCAGTAAATATCGTTTGCTTATTACCCATCTTAGTCGAGTTATTTTCCTCTCGTGCAGATGCATCACATTGGTCTTCTCTGTTCTAGGCATTTATGTCCACGGTTTGGCCAGCCGAGAAAATGGGAGGCAGCATGAAATTTCAGTCCTTCCTGAAGTAGCCTATGCCTGTTGGTGGTAAAGGCGACACTCTCCATAAATACTTTAACAGCTCAAGAAACGTTACACTTGTTTGTCGCGTACCGTTCCTGACGTGCGCGGCATATACTCGTCCTGTCGCTGTTCGCTCTCACTGACTGATTGTCAATGAAAACGATTCTAGAACCGATTTTAACACTTCACACCACCAGGGGGCAGCATTGAACACATTGAAAGCAGGATAGACTATTTCATTTTAATATACGCAAATATCAAAATTTCATTAATACCATGAAAGTACTATGAAAGTACACTTTTTTTTTTATAATAGCCTAGCATTATTATTTAAATTATTTGTGCGGTAATTACTAATAAAAACTAACATTTTAAAACAAATACAACTTCTAAAATATAAATGTTAAGATAAATGCTAACTTTTTTCCACTCTAAAGAGCAATATAAAGAACATTTAAGATCATTTGTAAGATAATTTAAGAAGAGAGAGAGAGAGATAGATAGATAGATAGATATAGATAAAAACAAATGAATGCATAAACACTTTTTAAAATAGTTTTTTTCTTTTTACTATACTGTATAAACTATAGTTATATTAATAATTAGATAAAAACACAAAGATTCCATGAAGTTTCTTTAATGAATCATCGATGCCAATAAAGAAATTGTATTTTTAACACCAAGTCCAAAAAATACCGCCATAGGCCTAATATTTCGCTTTTTAGAGAATTTTAGTGTACTTTCTCCGCTAAGTCCATTTATAATACAAACTTTACATGACAAAAATTCTAAGTTCTGCATTCTTGCCCCTGTTTCCATGACAATATCCTAGTAACCACTGTAATCACACAAAAGCACAGAAAGGGTAACTTCCGGCTGGGCTGAACTTTAAATAATTAATTTATCCAGGCGTTAATTAAACCAACAGAACGCTCGAAATGAATAAAAACATCGGAACAGTGAAACAGCAGTGGGGCAAATAATGCCCGCATTAAAACCACGACTATCTAGAGCAGATGCTACAGTGATGCTAGCCGCAGAGCTAACAGTCACACCCGCTTTGATCTGCCGCCTGTACTGCATACTGTACATGCCCACCAGCATTTATTAACAAAACAACCATCCCATGCTGTAATCTGCGAATGACTGCATGAAGCTGAGCGACAATGGACTTGAAGAGGGAAAAGGACAATGGTAAGTTAGTTGATAAAGCAGTGTTGTAACGTTAGCCCGTGCTAGCAGCAGTAGCTGTCCACACACTGTGGTGCTGATTCACAAACATACTTCTGTGATTAAAATGGCTTGTGTTTTTATTTTGAAGGATATTTATTTTGTTTGGCAGCCTATTGAATGTAGTCTTGCATTATTATATCGGTAAAACGGTCTCCTTTTTAGGGCATAACTATCGCTTGTTGCGCCGTACTTTGGTTCATTAAACACACGCTTTGGTTCCGTTGATTAAACCAACTGTTGTTTGCGACAACTTTTAGCGTATCCACGTAATCTCAGCTATTTTAATTTAGTTTGCAAAAGTCCTTCAAGTGGGGGCTGTGCGTGTTGTCATTTTTGTCTTAAAATGGACTAGAAAAGATTTGTATTATCCAAGGTAATTGAGTTAGGTGGTAAGATTGTTGTTTTTTGTGTAATTCTGCACCTTTTTAGAAGAGCAGATTATAAGAAACCAATCCCATAACAGTGTTGTTGTTTTATTATTATCTATATACTATTGTAGTTTCTTTTAATATTTTGAATTGGCTTAGTTTAGTTTTCATTTAATTTCAATATTAGTTCATTTTTAGTCATTTTGTTATTTGCTTTAGTAATTTTTGTAATTTTTTTTAAATATTACTATTTAGGTTTAATTATTTTTTATTATAATTATTATTTCATTTCAGTTTTAATTTATTTTTAGTTAGTAATTTTAGTGCTTTAACTTCTTTTAAATTAGTAGCCAGAGCAACATTTCACATTTTTGTTAGTTTTTCATCTTTTTTCAATTAACAACATTATTATTATTATTTTTAATTAAATAAAAATGTAACAGTTTTAGTTTTATATAACGATATTAACCTTGCCCCATAAAGCATTGTTTTTGAGAATTTAAAATAATATCACTGTCATGTTTTAACATATTTTATGGACAAAATGTTTGTCAAAGGTTCTGACAAATGATTCATAAATAAAGTATATATTGTTTAATAATATTATTTAGATTTTTTATTTTAAAAAATGCAGGGTTTTTGCATTAGTAATAGTCTGTAGTAATTATAACTGTATTTTTTAAATGGTATTTCTTGGTATTATTATTACATTTTTAAATATAAATTTAAATTGGTCCCAAAGTTACAATCTGCATTAATTAGTTAATTTATTTATTTAGTTAATTAGTTTATTTATTTTACTTTATTAAAGTTAAAAAAAGAAGAAGAAACAACAAATATGGAAGGACACAAAGATGTTGTTATAATATAATGATAAAAATGTTTGAATAAAAAAAGAATATTTGCTGGCCATTCAATTAAACCCGGAGGAGATCTGCAGCTGTAATCCAGTCTTTGAGAATTCAAGAAAAGCGACACATAAAGTGTGATTAATATTGTAATCACCATTTGAACCTTTGGAATCATGCAGAGCCACATTTATAATCTACCCACAGAAAATACTGAACAGACCAGAAAGAGCTTTAATACTCTACAGACTCACTCAATCAAAAAACTGCTGCTTAAATTGTAATCACACACTTTCTCCTCATATTCCAGAAACAGAATGTGCAAAGATCACCACTGTGCTTCTGAAGTCCCGCACCGGGGAGTTTGATTTGGAGTCCATTATGTTTCTGAAACTAAGGAATTTAGGTAAAACGATACCGAATTTAGTGTCTGCAGAATACATTGTCAAAATACACAAACACACAATCTTGCATGTGTTTTTTGCAGGAATTTATGACCTTGGATGTATAGGAGAGTGTATAAACCTGGAGAGGCTGGACCTCTCTGGAAATAACATCACAAATCTGGGGCCTCTTTCATCTCTACGAAGACTTCTTGTTCTTAACTTGTCAGCCAATAGAATCTCTAATTTAGGTAATGTTATTTCAATCTTAATGTAATAGTTTTCTCAAAAAAATAAAATTTGCTGAAAATTTCCACACCCTCAGGCCATCCAAGATGTAGATGAGTTTGTTTCTTCATCAGAACAGATTTGGGGAAATTTGACCTCACATCCCTTGCTCACCAATGGATCCTCTGCAGTGAATGGGTGCCGTCAGAATGAGAGTCCAAACAGCTGATAAAAACATCACAATAATCCACAAGTAATGCACATCACTCCAGACCATCAATTAACATTTTGTGAAGTAAAAAGCTGCTTTTTTAAAGAAACAAATCCATTCCTTTATGCATTTTAACTTGAAACCATCACTTCTGGGCAGAATATAAGTCCATAATCCATAATAACATTTTCTCCAGTGAAGAAAGTCCATCTTCTGTTGTCGTCTTGCATCAAAATCCACCAAACATATTTGTTTAGAACTGTTTTAGACTGTTTTTGCTTGTAAACAGTGCTTGATTTGTGCATATTTCTCTCCTGATTCAGTCAAGACGACCTTTTCAAGGGAGAAAGCAATATTATGGAGAGAGGACTATTGAAGGTTTAAAGTTAAAAACGTCTTAATGAATTAGTTTCTTACAAAAACGCAACTTTTCACTTCACAAGATGTTAATTGATGGACTGGAGTAGTGAGGATTAGTTGTGGATTATTGTGATGTTTTTATCAGCTGTTTGGACTCTCATTCTGACGGCACCCATTCACTGCAGAGGATCCATTGGTGAGCAAGTGATGTAATGCTACATTTCACCTGTCTTGGATGACCTGAGGGTCAGTAAATATTCATTTTTACATGAACTATTCCTTTAATGTGATTATACATATACAGTGGCTATAGAAAAGAATCACCCCCCTTTAAAAATAATCACATTTTGTTGCTTTGAAGCATGAAATGAGGACGGACACAGTTTTTGTTTTATCCAGCTGTATTTACTCAGTACAACCTATAACATCCAAGTGAAAGATATAACACCAACATGTCAGGAAAAAACAAAAACAAAAACCAAAAACAGAATCACTGATTTGGAAAAAGGATCACCCCCTCCTAAAATTGACTTGTATCAGGTTTAGCTAATCACCTTCTCAATGGCACACAAAGCCATTTGACATTAAACTGTGATCAGCTGTGGTCATTTTGATTTGTTCAGCATGAAAAGAGCTTTTCTGGAGCTTTTCTGGAGCATTTCAGTCCTTGGTAACTGCAACTGAAGCAAACAATCAACTATGGTTGTCAGAAGATCTCCGGGATAAGTTGTGGACAGGCACAAGTCAGGAAACAAAAAAACTTTCAAAGGCTTTATAAATGCCTAGAAGCACAGTGAAGTCTATTATTAAGAAGTGGAAGGTATTTGGTACAACACAGACCCTCCCTGATCAGGACATCACTCCAAACTGATGAAAGAGAGGCGACCAAGTTACAGTAACTCTGAAGCAGCTGCAGGAATTTATGACAAAGAGTGGTCATTGTGTGCATGTGACAACAATATCACAAATTCTCCACAAATTGGGCTTGTATGGGAGGGTTGTAAGAAAAAAGCCACTCCTCAAGAAAAAACTACATGCAGTCACGACTGGGCTTTGCCAAAACACACCTTGAAGATTCTGAGGCACATGAGACTAAAATTGAATTATTTGGCCTCAACACCAAACGATACTTTTGGAGTTGAACATGTTTCTTTTCAGAACCCCTTTCCAGCTGTGAAAGTTTACAGAGTTTGAATGTTGCTGGTAATGTGATACTAAGGTAAGCTGCATTTTTAGCTACTCATATTTATCTGCTATCCACCTTTCTATACAACACATGTTGCATTGCTCCTACAGTGTTGATAATCTTCATGCACTCAAGTCTTTAAAGAAGCTGGAGAGCATCAGATTGAAGGACAACACCTATAATTACACCAATCCAGGTCAGCAGTTTTCTGGCTTTATTTGATTAAATGTTTTTGGAGCTCTTAATCTGGTCCTTCATTCTTGCTAATCTATTTTGCTATAGTCTGCAAGAATTCATTATACCGGACTCTTATTCTTGAAATTTTCCCTAACATGAAAGTGTTGGATGGTGAGTTTTTAATTGTATTTTGCTAAACACATGTTTTTTTCCACATACAGTTGTGCATTTTCTCATCAAGTTATCAAATTCTATTTTAATGTGTCATTTCAGGTGAAAGGGTGGTGGGACGTGGAAGTGACTTATACCAACTATGCAAAGACATTGATGATACCATTAAAGGTACTTGCTGGAATTTTAATCCTGTTATTTAATAGATTTTAAGAGAGACACTCAATGCACTTGTGTATTATATTATACCATGCAATTTTGTGTATAATACCGTATGATAATATCACACTTAATGCTAAAAAATCTGTAATGATTTACAATTTTTTTGCATCAAACATGTTTGATTTAATTAGTGCATGTTAAATTTGACAGCCCTAAAAATACACTTCCATTCAACAGATTAGGGTTAGTCATTTTTTTAAAGTTAATTATTACTTTTATTCAGCAAGGATGCATTACATTGATCAACATTCACAGTAAAGACATTTGCATTGTTACAAAAGATTTTATTTCAAATAATTGCAGTTGTTTTGAACTTTCTATTCATTAATATTTCTCTGTTTTTGATGTTATTTATTTATAGCAGGCATGTATAAAAATGGCCACCTGCCTGAGTTGCCAGACACCAAACCTTGGGTGGATGATGGTTTTTGGGAGATAAAAAGATCAAACAATGCCATAGTTGATGAAGCCTATAAACAATTCAGTGGTATGGACTAATCATCTTCTTTCCTCTAAACCATTCTTTAAACACATCAGCAGTCACATTTTCAAAGCCCTAATTTAATATCTTTTTGGTAATAAACTCAACAGATGTTCTTCATGAATGCAGGCTGCTGAACAGTCGAGCAGCCCACGTGATCTCACAAAATGAACGAACCGTCAGCCTCAAGAGCCAACCAAAGCAGTATGCTGTTTAAATCTGGGAATCTCATTACGTTTCCATAAGAATGCATATGTTTTTTTCCCACAGCTTTTTCTATGTCTTTTTAAAAGTCCATAAGCTTGATGCATCACCGGTGCCAGAAATACAAAATGCTCCGTGTTGCCTGCAGTGTGAGGGTTTAGTTTTTGTAACTACACTTGAGTTCTTTCTGATTTTCCACCGTTTAGAGAGACCGTAGTTACTCCTAATCCGGTTTGATCACTGTCTCAGGATGTTCAGAATCAAGACAATTCCTCTTTGCACTCCTAACACAATGCTGTATTTAACGTTATGCTTTAAATTATGCTTCAAATGCTGCTATTTGTATATTTCGTAATGGTGAAGCACTTATTAACCACTTCTGAGGCTTTCCCATGTTGCTTTTCTTGTTTACAATGCATTTTGCCTTTTTATTGTATGCCTAATGTGGATGATTTTTTTCTGAATTGCTTGTTTCATACTAAATTTTTTCTTTTTATTCCCTCAAGCAGCTTTTTGTTTTAAAATACATCTAAATTGTATTATATATGATCAGCTTCGCATCTTTGTATTTACATTTTGTTGGATAATATATAATCGTGCCAGAAAATGTCTTTGTGTCTATGTTTATTAATCTTACACATAATGTAAAAAAGCAGACTATTACAAAGTTTCAGAGTTTAAATGGTTAAAGTGCTAGTTTACCCAAGAATGATATATAAATCATTTACTCACCCATATGTTGTTCCAAACAAAGACGTTCTTTCTTCCATTGAATACACAAGGAACAATGACCTGAATGTTGCCAGAATTTTCTTTGAGTGAACTATACATTTAATGTTGCACAAATAAGTGCAAAATATCGTTCCGAACACATTCAAGAAAATGTGGGGGGTATTAATGCACTGTGGCATCCGATGCAGTAGGGGGAGTTCAGCGTTCAGCACGTCAGAGTTCTCAACTTCACAGCCGAATGCAGAGCAGTGGGCTAGTACACGGGGTTGCCAGGTTTATTAAAATACCCTGTTTTGGAGTCTACCATGTTGATAAAAAGCTAATCTCGGTTGTAACTTGTTGGGGACATTTGTGAATTAAAAACAAAATGCATTAAAAAAAAATCCCCCGCACCTGATCATTTAATTTGCATACCTATTATAAATTAAATTCTAGGTACTTCTGATCAATTGATATTGAGCCATAAACTTACATGATTTACAAGTTCTGAAACAGGTTTTCACAAAAACCTTATACAACAGCACTTCAGCCTTTAGACCATTTTTATGAAAAGGGATAAATCAAGCATATAAATTATGTCAATTTAAACGTATAAATATTACTGTCTTAATTGTTTAGATTTTTAGAAGGCACATT